CTGCAGGCCCCCCCCCCCCATACAAGCCACGGCTCTGTCCTGTGCCCCACCCCACCCCATCTGGGCAGCGCCTGCCCCCTCTCTCCCTCCCTCCCTCACTGCGGGGGACATTGATCTTCCCCCACACCCCTACTCTCCCCACTTCCCTTCCACCACAACAGACTTACCAGCTGCATGCAGCTCTCCACACTTCTGGACTGCGCTCCTCGCTGCCTGCATGCTGTGCTGCAGCTGCGTGCACTTGCGAGCGTTTCTCTGCCAGATTATTGGCCACTTGAGGCCTTTTTCTGATGCAGCCAATTTTTTTTAAATTGGTACCGATCCAATATTGGACCGATGTATTGGTGCATCTCTACTCCTGAAACCAGTTTCTGCCATGATGCCTTTGGGTCACTACTGCTTTGTCCTGGTTAGGCAAGTAGCAAGTTGAGACTCCAGCTTTGCTGCTCAAGTCCAGCTGATTGTAATTTCATCATCGCAACTGAGCCCACCCCTTTCCCCACCATTTTCCCCAGATGTTGTGGCCTGCATGGTATGCAGATTGAGGGCTGTCCTCCATGGTACAAGTCGGTGCAATGGAGGGCTGACACTCAATAAGGTTTCCAGGCACTTGTGTGATATAACTTGGCAGACAACCCTGACTGCAGCCATTTCTCCAAGTGCCCCCAGCACTTCCTGACCTCCTCTCAAATATACCAGAGATCTAGCAGCTACATGCCTTGGGCTGGGTAGCTGTTTTCTGTTTGGCCCAGCAGAAGAATGACTCCCAGCCCCACCATGTCAAAGGTCATGCAAGTAGATTTGACTTTGGCTCGATTTCCCTCAGCCCTTTTCAGCCCCCCAAAGGGCAAATGTAGGGAGATTATCTTTTGTAGTCACCGTTTTAATTGCATTGTTATTGTGCCGAGTAAGCGAATCCTGGCAGCAACTGAGCATGGCAGATGCCAGGCAGCTCCCAGAAATGCATCTGGGAATCAGTAGAGTCCAGCTGGCATGGGAGAATGGCTGCTTCCAGTGACAGGGCCTGGACTGGTACCAACCATCAACAGGTGCAGGGAGCAATGGGACCTGCGTACATGGGGGTGGGAGGATCTGAATAAGTATGTGACCCTGACCCACATCTCATCCTCGAGGCTCTTTACATTGAACACAAACACACCCCTTTTCTGTTTTTCAGACTGTGAGCATCAATAAGGCCATTAATACACAGGAAGTAGCTGTCAAGGAGAAACATGCCAGAAATATCCTTTTTAAAGTTGGCAGCAGGACAAGCAAGCGTGGGAGTTGACTGGGGCTGGTTGAAGACATGGCTGAGACAAGGTGGAGGGGCCTTCAGGCCGGGGCAGAGACCAACAGTCGCAGGAAGTGCCTGTCACAGATGAACCTAGGCAGAGGCCTGGGAAGTACTGTTTGTGGTTCCTTTTGCTGAATGGGGGAGGGGAGGAGAGGGAAGTAAAGCAGGGCTTCTGTTGGAGTCCCCTCTGCTGAATGGTTGAGGGGAAGGTTTAAAGCAAGGCCCCTGTTGGGGTTCCCTCTGGACAGTACGGGAAGAAAGAAGGGATGGGATTCTTGTGGAGAAATTCTTTGAGGGGGAAGGGGCTCCAGTAAGGGATTTCATCTGATGAAATGAGGGACAGATTGCTATAGAGCAGTGGTGCCCAACGTTTTTCCCTGGCAGGCCAGATTGGCAACCCCTGGTCTGACTGTGGGCCAGATGGTGGTTCCAATCCAGTGCCTGGGGCCAGCACTGCCACCGTCTGGCCATGCAGAGGGGGTTGGTTGCAGCTTGACCTGAGTTCCACCCTGCAGGGGTAAAGGAGCTTCACCCAGCCCCATGGAGGGGGATTTAGTGTGGAAATGCATGGCTTGGCCTGGGGGGGTGGGGATTGACCCAGCCGTGGAGAAAGGGGACATGGCCCAGCTTTGCAGGGTTGGGAGGAGAGGGGTGTGGCCTGGCCCTAATCCAGCCCTGCAAGGGGTGGGGGCCTGGCCTGGCTCCAACTGGGCAGGGCTTGGGACTTGGACATTTGGCAGGGGGGAGTGTGGCCCACTGCTCCCCCACCACTAAATTTCCCAACCTGTGGGGAGCCCTGCAAGCCAGATGCAAAGGGCTTATAGGCTGCATTTGGCCTCCGGGCTGGAGGCTAAGCACCCCTGATATAGGGTAACCGTCAGTCCCAGCAGCCTCATCTGTGCTGCCCATTTTTAACCCTACAGCCTTGCTCTGAGTTGCTTTGTGCTAGCAGCTGCCTAGAGTCTTGTCTATGCATGGCATTCCCACTGCTGACTCCAGCCATGAAGTAACGCCAGTGTTAGCAATGGCAGGAAATGTCTAAAGGAGGGAAGACTGCTGCAGACTTGACCCCCACCTGATGGTGGTTATAAATACCAGGTGTTATTTATAACGACACTAAAGCTCATCAGGTGGGGGTAATACCAGGTGTGTCTAAGCTCTAATGGCCCAAAGGTGTGAAAATTTAAAGGTCCAGCTGAAGAAGAATGTGCATCTTGGCAGCTGTTGGTGACAGGGAGCCAAATCATTTAAGTGGGCAGGGCTGGAAAATTTAGGGGAACACTTTGCTTTCTGACCATGTGGAGTGTGTCATATGTCCAGAATCATGTGGGGAGACCATCGTAGAGATGGGCAAGAGGTGAGGTGGGCGTTCTTTGTGATCTTCAGTTTGTGCTACAGGGCTGTTTCTGGCAAAACATTGAAGGGTTCAGGCGAAGCAATACTTGCTATAGCTGAACTCCAGCCTTGTGATGGAGAGACATGGTACCATCCAATTAGTTTGGATTGACTGGCAGAGGTATTCTAGGCCTGACCTGAAGGGCTTTGTTCCCAGGAGCACTCTGGGTGCTCAGCATTCCTGAAACCCAGATTGTCAGCATCTGAGCAAGACAGGGAGGCTGCGTAAGCAGGAGCCTTTTTGCCAAGATGACTCAGCCCCAGTGGGTGTGGTAAACCCTTCTGAGGATCTCTGGAGCAGGAGAAGCAGTGCAGTAGGGTATGGAGTTGAGATGTGTGCCATGTTAGAAGCTTCATGAACCATGTTTGAGCCTACAGGGTACAGTGTGTACCCAAGCCTGAGTTGGAAATCTGTCAAGATTCTGCACTGGCCCTTGTCCTCTTTTACTCTTGCTGGGAAAGAACAGAATGTTCTCAAGCATTTGAAGTTCCCTGACACATGGCTGAGGCTTGAGCTCTGGGCTGCAGCATGGATGCCGGGTGTCTGGGCAGCTCCGCAGGCAAGCCAGGGCTTAGGTCTTATTCTACCTGCTTCCAAAGATGCAAGCTGTAAATTATTAAAGCAGCAGCACCCCTTTAATTGTGTACTAAGGGAATGTGTATTTCAGTCTGGCTTTCTGAGTGGGCCATGATACTGTACCTTTTGTTTTAATCTCAGGCCTCTTTTATATGGGAAAACTGCCTGACTGAGGAACCCAGGCCCTGGAGACAGAGCTGTATTGAAGCCCTATTAACTGCTAGCTTCCTGATGCAGCAAGCTGTCGATGATTACCGGTCCCCTTTTCGCATTCTCTGTCTATTGCAAGACAATGCCTGGCTATTCTGCTTCTCAAAGCCTTGTGAAAAAGTCTACAGGGATCAGCTCTGTATTGCCCTCTTGTGACAGGGCTTAGTAGATGGATCCCCTTACAAGTATTAGAGTGTGCAGGACATTTGCCATGCCCTTTTCATTGAGTCGATGTTTTCACTGCCTGAGCTCTAATGGCCCACATGGGGGAAGAGTTTAGTCACGACAGGCTTTCCTTTTAGGTAATCTAGGGATAATCAGGTAATATAGGGGTCTGGCATTCATGAGATCATGAGTTCACATTTCATCTCTCCCATTCTATTGCTTAAATGTCTGTCTATTCAGTAATGCTTATTACTGAACAACAGTAATGCTTATTACTGAACAACTTATCTTCCTCTTTCCCAAAGCAGGTTCATATCAGCTGCTACCTGTTTCACTAAGAAGTTGCACAAGGTCATATCAGACAGACCTGGAAATGAATCTAGGTCTCATATATGACACATGCAGATTCTATCCACTTAACTAGGTGCCTTTCAGACTGAGTGGGTGCATCTGCATGTATGCTATACTGTGGAGTAGACTAATTAACTCCACAGTAAAGTGTCATTGTCTACATGTGCACCAGTATTAGTGTGCAGTATATTAATGAACTCTGCCATAAGATAGAACTGCTGGGGACAGTAGTATCTTACTGTGAAGTTACTAACTGCAATGAAAAATGCATATAAGTGCTGGCCCAGGCGTAAATTGCACCCAGTCAGCCCAGGTAGCAGGGGGCGAGACTACTGCCTGTCACCTAGCCACACAGTTCTGCACGACTGGAACTCTCATGCCCCAGCCAGCCCCTCCAAAACCCAGTGCTGCCACCTGGAGCCCGGAGCTGACAGCCCCCCCCCCCCCGACCCGCCCGCACGCC